CCAAACCCAACAACCCAACCCAACCGACCCCGCCCCATTGTGTAAAAATTTTTCAACGAAGGGATATTCATTTAATTACATTTTATATTATATAACTGTAGCAAAATGATTATGAGGAAAGGTAAATAAATTAAAATATTAATGTAAAATTAAATATAAATGCTTTTAAGGCCACATTGTATTATTTCGGTATATAAATTCTTTAAAAAAAAATTAAAAAAAGTTGTAGAGGCACCAAGAATCGAACCCCGTATCTATCGCATGCAAAGCAGGCGCCCTTCCATCGAGCTACCGAGCTTATTGTAAAATTCCTATCGCTCGAAAAATAATACCGATTTACAGTGTGACAGCGGGACTCGGCAAGCGGGCGGACTCGGGACGTTGGTTAAGGATAAAATATCTGCGTCCCGGGTTCGATACTAAGAAGCTGTCGAACTTTTTTTATTTTTTTATTTCATAAATTTGTTGTTTCTTTGTTAAACAGTGTTCGGTTGGGTTGGGTGGGTTGGTTGGATTGTTTAAGTTTTATGGTAACATAAAATCTACTAGAAGTTGTCGAACTTTTTTTATTTCATAAATTTGTTGTTCCTTTGTTAAAAAGTGTTTTATTTTTATCGTAACATAAATTTGCCCATTTTAGTTGGGTTTTTTGCTCAATGGGGCGGGGTCGGTTGGGTTGTGTTGTTGAGTTTGGGTTGGTTTGGTTTTATGACGTAACTAACGTGCATTTCGAATCATGCGCTGTAAGAGGAGCCGCCACACTGTGGGCCCAATGTCCAAACTAGGTTGCATTAATTCATTTTTTTTTCTATTTACTTGAAACTTTAAAAATAATTAAACTTTGAGACTAACCACAGACCACCAAAACAAATGGACGGCGCATTGCCATTCAATAACAATGATATGTTTGCGGTCAACAAACGGTCACAGTCTAAGCGTCAAATTGGAGATAGAATTTTATGTTTTCTTCCAGTGACGTCAACAAACCGTCACATTCTAAGCGTTAAATTCTTAGGTTAGAATTCTAAGGTTAAATTCTAAGGTTAAATTGGATAGAATTTTGTTTTCTTCCAGTGACGTATTGGGATTAAAAAAAATAATAAGTAGGTAGGTACTTACAAACGATATTTCCATGTATTGTTATTTTTAGTAAAAAATAATGTATTTAAACTCCATAATTAACTTAAACACGATAGAAATACACAAACGAAAACACAAAACAATAAGCTGTCAACCTTTTTCTATGCTGTCAAATATGACGAATTTACCAACGTTGTTAATACCTATTTAATTTTAATAATTATTAAATTATTTACTTTCTTTAAATAGAGAAAAATAGAGAGACAATGATGAACAAATCCTTTTTATAATTTTTTTATTATTCAAACGAGTTACTGGTAATTATTAATGTTCATTATATAATGATATGATGAACGTCCAAAAAGGCGCCTCATTATAATGAGGCCGGAAATCGAGATAAACCATTTTTTACCCTTAAAACCCCCCCTCCCACTTCCCAAAGTCAGATCGCCCGTAATTTATTTTTCCTTTTATTTTTATTATATTCTTCTCCTTTTCCAATGGGTTTCATCCTACTGTTATTTTTTTTGGTTTCAAAAATTATCGACCCTGGTCTAATAAAACTCTAAAATCAAATAAACTGAAAAATTAAATTAAATGTTCGAACAAGCAATTATTAACGGTTCGTCGAATTGTTTCTCTGTTTAGTCTGGCCTCGAACATTCCCGCAAATAATCTTTGAATTTCTCGTTCAGAATTACCAGCAAAATGCCAGATTAAAATCTGAACTTTTTGTTCCAACGTGTACCTACATTTTTTAATTAAATAATCTTTTTTACTAAAATTACTACCTCTTGCTGGCACCACTGCAGTTCTCGTTCTGATATCCTCGTGACACGAGGCTCGTGTCAAGCACGCTGCGAGGTGCGCGATGGGTATGCGTTGTCGTAGCCTGCCGGCTGGCCAATCAAATTCTATTTGGCGTTCTATCCTTGTTCTTTTCACGCGGGTATTGAACAGCCGTCCTTTCCAGTGTGGTCGGACTTGGATTTGCAAGCACTGTATACTTCTGACAACGTTGGAAGCCGTGTTTCTTTCGACGGTGTTTAGAATGTGAAACTAGCTTTACTCGCTTTTTAAACGTAAACAAATCCGTCCATTTGTTTTGGTGGTCTGTGAGACTAACCAATGCTGGTAATTATATAATTTATTTTTTTATTTTCCAGTGTTGCAACATTAGTTTTTTTGGAAATTTATAAAATACAGGGTTATCTTCAACTAGTGTAACAAACCATGCCAACGTTATCTACGGATCAAAATAATTCGATTTAACTCAAATTACCTATACACTAAGTTGCTTCGTTTAGTCGTTAGAGGCCTTTAAAGTTTTAAAAAATAACCATTTTTTTAAATATCTTAAAAACGTATTAATGAATTTTGAATATTTTTGGAGTTTTAACTGCCAATTAACGTCGTTTGATGCTACACTCAGTTATCTTTATAAATTAGAATAATCAGAAAAGCAAGGTTAGGTACTAATTTTCGCTTGTATTTTTTTACTGTTGATGTAATGGTTACCAATTTGCTAGCAAATAGAAAGCTCACTTTGTTTAAAAACTTTTTTGTCTCTTGTAAAAGTTGGTTGAGCGGTTTAGCCAGAAAAAATTATTTTGTAATGTCTGCATACCTACTATCGATATATCGCGATAGTTACTATGTTTTATCCCGAAAATTATTGAACATCTAGAGATTCCTTTTCTGAAAATAGGTCAATTTGACTCAACGCAGTTGCTTCGTTTAGCAGATAAAAAGTGAAATACAGAGTGTAGGTAATAGGTAAATGGTCTATAAAGAGGAGGGTTTTCGCATATTTTTTCGGTCACTTCCGGTTTCACCGGAAATGGGTCCAGGTTCAAAAAATTAAATAGAAACCCCTGTATATATTTACATTCTCGGATTCTTAACATAATTCTTAACTTAAATGTGATTTTGAGCAATTTTTAACAATGCATCTAGGCCACCTTGATGTAATATTAAAAACGGATAAAAAGAATTAGTAGGCTTAAACACGTTTAACAAATATTAAACGCAATGTATATAATTTGCTCATTGCCCAAGCAATACATGCGATAAACAACTTAATATTAATATTAATTGTTAATATTTTCTTTTCTCAGAGGTTTACATTTTTGACTGGGATAAGTTTTGCGATTTTTTGCGATTTTTTTGGTTAACAGTTTTTAGTAGTCTACATCTTTGTCTAATAAAAAATATATATTTTGGCTTGGCATTCGTTGGCCTTCATATTTTTTTACTCTGCAAAACTTATAAAATTAAATATTACTGTTACTTACCTTATCAGTTCTTGCCAAAAACAAAAAAAAACAAGAATTTTCTATAATTTTATGTACCCAACACAACTAATTGACAGGTCTAATGTCAGTTATGAAATGTTTAAGGCGACTTTTGCTTTTCACGGCCCTCTAAGCTATAAAAAAAATCGCAAAAATCGTAGTTTTAATTAAAACGATTGCATTAAAAATAGACTTTCTTTTAAAGATCTGACTTTGGGCATTTATAAAAAAGTCTTCGTAGAGTATTTTCAAAAAGCAGTTATGTTTTTACAAGTTTGAATATGTTTTTAATAAAACAATAGTGGCAAATTATACATTTTCAATAATGACTTATTGCAACCTAGTTTGGGCCTAGGGCCCACAGTGCGCCAGTGGCATTTAGCGTCTCGTACTATTTTTAGTCATGTGATAGTTGTGTCTACAGACCCGGAACGACGTTGGGGCAAATAAGTCGGACCGACGTAGTAATGTAATACGAAGGGTGCACCGCGGTCGGAAATGGTGCGCGCTTTAAGACTTGGTTGTCCTCTTGGTCCAAATATGTAATGAAACAGTAAAAATTTATAGACACTTCGTCGGAGTACGGTTAAATATCTGGAGTTTCCCAACTGGAAGTATGTGGCAAAGTTTCAGGAACTATTTGTGAAATTTTAATTCTAATGAGATTTTCAATATAAATTTAATTTTAAAGTTTTTATTTACCTATATGTTAAAAATTGCACTAATTCTAAATTTTGTTTTTGTATATAATAAACAAGTTTTATTATATAAAGAACTACTGTACGACACAACATTCACAATAATATGCAGAGATATTTGTATACAATACTAAAAGGACCGTCAAGGTACTAAATGCGCTTTAGCGCGCTTGCGTCAATAAAAATTCCGTGTGTTGGCCGGAATGCTTGTAAGGGTAATTTTGAGTCACTTACTGTATTGAAGGAAAGTTTTATAAAAGTATACAAAACTTGAAATTCAATAAAAATTAGTTGACTGTGTTATATATAGTCTCAAAAATGATTAAAACTAGAACTAGCTACCTAGGTAACAGCTGTTATACAGTCTATTATTTTCCAGGTTTAAAAATTGTATACCCTAATACCACCAGAATGATCTATTTTCAGAAATAAACTAATAACTTTCATCGAAATAATAATAACTTTGCCGTAAAATAAAAAAAATCTGAAAATTTACACAGAGTTTAACTTTCACCTCGACTAACTTTTTAACGAGTGATTTAATCGAAAAATTATAAGAGACCTTTTTTGTAGAGCGTTTAATTTACTATAAGAATATATATGTCTCAAGTCATCTTGCCTGGGAAAAAAGAATTAATTGAAAAATGTAATGTAATTTGAATGGGAAATGTATCGTCTTTAGGGCAAGGTTTATTATGAATATTAAGAGTTTATTTTGGTCTGAAATTTTTTTTTAGACGATAAACTAAAAATTTAGGGAGCGTCGCAAGAAAAAAGATCAACTTGGTAAATAACGGACACCCTAATGTATTATTATGTATAGGTAAAACTAAATGTATATTTTATTATTATGGCTTTGCCTATTTTAAAGAGCAAAAGCACCTTTTAAATTTCAATTTCTATATAAATAAATAAAAAATTACCTTACTTTTTAAAGCAGAAATCACAGTATTCAGTTCTATACTTTGAACTTAACACATAGACAAAGGGTTTTTCTTGATGAATTATAGTTCCAGATTTAACTTCTTGTTTTTTCAATCCCATATCAGAGTCTGAAATAAATGAATTTTTCACCTGAAGATCAATAACACTAAGGTTACAGAGGTAAAGTTGCCTACATATATAAAACAGGTGGGCTATTTTTAGGCACCTTTTTCAAAAATAACTATGCTATTTATCATAAACGAGAGTAGATACTAAAACTGTCCTTTTCTCGTTACTAATTATAATATGAGGTTACTTGGTCTAATTATTTTGGCAGAATAAAATATAGATAAAGGCCAATCATAAATAAACTACATTAAAAGTATTTATAAGTATAATGTGTTTACATAATATTTCTTTTTATAAGAAATTTAAAGGCTCTGCACATTTTCAATAAGGATAAATTAAATGCTCAGTAGTTTATTTAAATGTCAAGTTTAAACCTACATTGGTAATGAATTCGGTGGCCGAGTGGCACTTTGGCTCGCAAAGCTAAGCAAATGTATTAACAGTGTGCTCGTTTAACGTTAAAGTGGAAGTTGAAGACTTCGACTTTCGTGCCAGCTCTGGGACATGCACATTGTTTTTGTTGTGATGGTTTAACATTTTCAATGATATCTATGGCGTTAAGTTATTTGTTTGTAGTGTTTTTATTTTGATTATTTCCCTCATTATAAAATGAACCAATCAAAAGCCTTGAATTTTCGAATAAATTTTGTTTAGATAAGCGATTAAATCACTAGAACTGTTTAACAGCGATTAAATTTTAAACCCCATATTGGATTTTTGTTTACGATTTTATGGTGTTATTTATAAGTTTTAACATTTAAAAAAACAATAAAAAATAAGTTATCTAGTTTACGAAATATCAATTATTAATTAATACATACCTACCTTTAAATTAATGAAATTTTGTTTAAAAAATTGTTAATAAATTTTGACATATAAGTCAGATTTTATTAATTGTCAAATTTAGTTCGAAAATTAACACTGTGCGACAATATTCGGGTCATCGAAATCAAACCGCTTCGGACTTTTTCGAAAATATACCTATCCAATAGCAATTTTTAGATTTTTTTATGTCCGTTTATATTTTCGAGCTTCATATACCCCAATTTAGCCTTATAAATTAATTTTTTTCGCATATATTCGATTTATATCGTCAAGATTTTTCGTAGAAATTTAGATACTGAACGTATACCTAAACCCATTTTGTGGACAACCTATATCCCAAAACCCAATTTTTGCGACCAAATATTCGAAAAAGTACATTTTTTTTCAATTTTTCGATAGTATTTAAAATTTCTTGCTACTTCTTCTGGCAAAAATGTTGTAATATGTACTAGAAGAAGTAATTTATAAAATACGCACACTAAACTAAACTTTAAGTTTGCTTATTTGCTAAAAAACAATGTTTGAACAAGATTTTTTTATATAAACATATAAATATCAATCTGACCCAAACCTCATAAAAAATTTTAAATTGTATTGTTACGTCTTATTGGTCATAAAAAGTTTAATTAATTCCCCAAATTTCACTTTTATATCTTTAACGGTTTTGGAGATATTAAATAAAAACCATCTTCAGGGGCTTTCCTTTTGGGGGCTGTAGCTCCCTTAGGAGGCATTTCTTGACCTATGTTTATAGGGATTTTTTTCTTATTTTTGCACGTACAATCTGCTGTTAAAGTGTGGTGCACTAATTTCAGGACACCCTGTATATATATACAGGGTGGTCCACTTTGAGATACATTAATTTTAGGAGGTGATAGAGAATCAAAAATGAAGGGGACTTTTCTAATAAAATATTTTTCAAAAGTGCCTAATAAGGAAGCTATAGCCCTTTAAAGTGGGAAATAAATAATCGTTTTTTAGCATAACTTTTGAACCGTTTAAACGATTTGGTTTAAATTTTAACCAAAGTTTGATAAAATAAGTCTTGTTCGACCAGTGATAACGCTTTTTATCAAAATAATTCAGGGGCGTAGATGATGGGGGAAGCTCCCCTTTTCCCTCCCCATTTTTCAACCCCTTGCTATTTTTATAAATTGTTTATATTTTTGAATTCAAAATTAAATTTGAACAAAAAAGTTACCCCTGGAAAACTGTGACTGAAGACTTTGTTTTTGAATTTAAACCAAATCGTTTAAACGGTTCAAAAGTTATGCTAAAAAAACTATTATTTATTTCCCACTTTGAAGGGCTATAGCTTCCTTATTAGGCACTTTTGAAAAATATTTTATTAGGAAAGTCCCCTTCATTTTTGATTCTCTATCACCTCCTAAAATTAATGTATCTCAAACTGGACCACCCTGTATATATACAGTAATCTGATTCATTGCTGGAGAATTCCATCCCTTCCACTTCTTCTCCTTTATTTTCTTGTTCTTCATTTACATTTACTTTTACAAACAAAAAATAGTCCGGTGCGGATTGATTTTTGGTGTAATCTAGATGTGAGTGATTTATTGAAAACAAAATAAATGTATTACTAAATACACTATTTGATTGAGTGTTGTCCATTTTTGCATTTAAAAAATAGCACTGACAAAAACACAATATTCCAAATTCTAACATCACAAAAAAATGACAGTTACCAACGCGCATGCATTAAATTCGTTTCTGAAGTTATTGTGAATGGTAAATTTCGTGCCGACTTGCGTGCCAAAGTGTCACTTGGCCAGCGAATGTGTGGTAGCCAAACTTCTTTTTTTAGCTCTGGTGGCCTCGTTTAAAATACCCCATAGAGACTCTGTTCAAACCGATAGATATTTATCGGAATGTGTGGTGTTTCTAGAGGGTGTATGTATGTATAGGACCCATAGTTAGGATTTATGGTTGTCTATAGGGATATCCACCCTTGATTTATTTGCTATTGGTTTCAATGGGGAAAATACACATAAATGTAGAAATCAGTTCTTCCCCCATAGGACCCATAGGTTTTAATAAAATTTTGTCAAATGTTTTATGGTTGTTCTATAGGGATTTCCCTATATATCCTTTATTGAGTTATTTGCTATCGGTCTCAATAGGGAAAATGTAAGAGTTATGGTGTGCCTATAGATAATTTTCTATAAATTTTCTATCGGGCCTTATCCGGAAAAAACCATGGACATGCACATATTGAATCCGGTAGCGCCCGATAGATTATTTTATATAGGTCTCTATGGGGTATTTTAAGCAGATGTAGCTCTATGAAAGAGTAGTGAAATATAAGTGACTTCTAGACCTGGGAGGGCCAAAATGGGGGTCCCGGTAAAGAAATATACCTGTATTTTTGGACAATATCTCAAGCTTTGACCTTTTAGCGAGGTATTTTGTGATTTGTACAATACATTGAGTGGATGATCCATGAATTGGAAATTCCACGTGTCTATGGGTGGATGGTTTCGTTAAGAGCATAATTATGCCCTTAGTAATATGTGAATTGTGGATAAAATGTTGTATTGCACTTGTAGATTAACAAGCCATAGAACAGTAAAAATCATAAACCTTAAGTAAATATTGTTATAGTTTAGTTAAATATTAAATGTTCAGTAAAATATTATGTTTTGCCTAGTTAAATAATAAAAATAATAAAATTCTAATAAACACAATGGGTGGGGTTGGTTGGTTTTCTGAACGTTAATTACACAGGCCCACAAAAAAAGAAGTGCTTTAAGAGAAGGTTTTATTAATTATTTTATAGAAAAATTGTATAAAAGAAAGTCGTTGACAACTCAAATTAAAGTCTAAATTCGAAATACAAATTTTTATTTTAATATTTCATTAATTTATACATTTATTTCACAGGCCCACAAAAAATGAGTGGTCTGCATGAATAAGACTATAATATTTCTATATATTTTACACCCCCTATAGGGGCTAAACTAAGTGTCACTGGTTTGTGTTGTTGATAGGAAAAACTTTTTTACTATGCATTTTACAAAAACAAATCATTTTTCATAAAAACTCTTACTTGTTTAAAAAATAAGGTTCCTATAAAAAAAATTGAATCAAATATACTGGGTGCACAGAAATTATTTTATAATTTGTTAGCACCATGTACATATTGGCAACCCGATACAGGAACACACTGTTAAAAAATACAGATGGCAAATATGTGTACATAGGAATATCATGGTCTAATTTATGGCACAGACCACTTGTTTTTTGTGGGGCTGTGTTATTTAAGCTTGAAGCATTGGAATAAAATACTGTGCATTTGATTATTTCTGCACTAAGCACTTACTGTACAAATATTAATAAGAATACAGCGCAAAATTGCAATAAATACTACTCAATTATATTTTGTTTAATAAACAAAATGGAATTGACGACCACAGGTTCCAGCACTTGACAAGGCATGACGCATTGTAGCAGCGAGAGCTCTTAAAACGTAAAAGTTTAATACCAACAAATAATTTTTCAAAAGTGCAAACCAATTATAGTGAAACAAACAATTTTCATAAAGTGCAGACTAAAATAGTGTAACGGTCAATAAAGAGTGAAGTGTTAAGTGATAAGAAAGAGTTAAGTGACAAGTTTCAGCTTCTGGTCCTATAGGTATACCACCTGTCATAGGACGCTTTTCACTAGACAAACAAAAGAGGTTAAACAAGAAGGGAAGTGGCGATCCGCAAAAAATTGATAAGTATCCTAAAGCATATGCATGACTCACCACATAATTTGCAAAATTAAACACGACAGATACCTTTAAAACCCTAAGAAAGGCACACTGCTTAAACTTTAGAAAAAAAACAATAAACATCAGTAACAATAGAAACATTAGAAAGACAATACTAACCAAACACCATAAAATAATAAAGAAAAAAGACAAACAACAAAAAAACAAAACTTCCCAATCCAAATATCACGGTGATACACCAAAGCTGTGTAGGACAATAAATCTGTCAACGAATGTGTAAGGCATGAAACCCAGTAACTTAAAGAATGGAGCCAATAAATAACGTTAATTTTAACCCAAACGAGACCAATAATAAACATTTGACACACAGAATATAAACTTACACTCAATAAATCATTAAAACCCTAACATAGTAAAAACAGCATACTAATCAAACTTTATTGGATTTGTAAACACATAAGATTATAACAGAATAATTGCCCTTGTCATTTGTTTAACTAATAAATAAATGCAATACTTAATTTTGGAATTTAAGAAAAAAAGACAAAACAATTCTACCACAAAACGTGCTGGGGAAAACAATAACTAAAAAAATTGTTAGAAATTTCGCACTACTGCGGCAATAAACATCAAAAGTTACATATCCAGCTACTGAACTATTTATTGATGGTTTTCGGCCTCAAGACTGAAGACACATGTGCAGGAACAATCCTACTTGGACACGGACAATAACGACACAAACGTAGGCTCCTGCAGCAAAATAACCACTCCCGAATTCCATACAGTGATCCAAAATGTTTGGAGTAATACTAACTGCCTGGTCTAGGGGGTACCGCGTCGTACTTAGATTTGAGTCGGCAAATTGTCCCCCAAACACCAAAATATCTATCCCTCCCGTCCTACCTCCTTCATGACCCTACTGGGCATATTATAATAGCATCGGCGAACCTACTAAAACTATTGGCATTTCGCTCTCGAGTCCTAATTAGGGGACAGTACGGGACGCAATGGACATTCGCAACCAGCAAACACGGGTGAAGCCGCGCCGTGCTGGTGGCGAAAGAAAATCGGCGCAAGGAAACAGAGGCCTATGCGGGGCCCGGGAGCGATGAGGCAATGGAGCCGGTTATACGTCTCTTATACTCATACTCATATACTCAAACAAAATGGAATTGATGACCTTGCTGCAAGAAGGATGTAGCTCCAAAAAAATATACATTCTGAGAAAAACGAAAAAAACGTTCTGAATTTGAATTCCAATGGATATGCAATGTTTAGTTTTATTGAACAAAAGTACTTACTTTAAGAAAATAAACACTGAAAATCTTGTAAAAAAAATTAAACACAAAGCACCTAATTCTAGCTGACTTGTTTACTGGAGCTACCTCCTTCTTCCCTGCTTAAAATACCCCATAGAGACCCTGTTCAAACCAATAGATATTTGTATCGGGATGTATGGTGTTTCTATAGGGTGTATCGGTTTGTATAGGACCCGTAGTTGAGATTTATGGTTGTTCTATAGGGATATCCACCATTGATTTATTTGCTATTGGTTTCAATGGGGAAAATACACATAAATGTAGAAATTAGTTTTTTCCCTATAGGACCCTATAGGTTTTAATAAAATTTTGTCAAATGTTTTATGGTTGCTCTATAGGGATATCCCTATATATCCTTCATTGAGTTATTTTCTATCGGTCTCAATAGGGAAAATGTAAAAGTTATGGTGTGCCTATAGGTAATTTCCTATACATTTTCTATCGGGCTGTATCCGGAAAAACCCATGGACAAATGCACATATAGAATCCGGTAGCGCCCGATAGATTATTTTGTATAGGTCTCTATGGGGTATTTTAAGCAGGGTTGCCCCAGCAATGCAAAATTATAATTAATACTTAATTTCAAAAATAAAATACATTCTAGAAACATTTTTCAGTTTTTTTATTACAATTTTTATAAAAATATAAAAAATAAATCATTCTAGAAATATTTTTTAGTTTATTAATTACATATTTTTTTATTAATATGATTATATTTATTCTTTTTCCTCATAGTCAGTATATTCGACTCCATTGTTATCATAAGCTTGGTGGAATCTTTTATTTTCATAAAAAGGTAAATCATGTAAATATCATTTGTCATATTTAATTTTTTTTAAGGGAAACTTTTAGTCAAAAGAAAAATAAAAATTTAAAATGGTAGGTATGAAATCTGTAATTCTTAGATTTTTTAAATAAATTTTGAAATTTGCTGATAAAATTTAGTGAATTATGAATTGCACCACTTTAATTTGAATAATCCTAATAAGGGGTACCCTGCACCACTTTAATTTGAAACTTCAATTAAAATTCTGCTTGTGCAGAACTTGTCTATTTAATGTCATTATAAACTCATATAAGTTTGGTGTTGGTCCCTTGTTTGCTAACTGAGATATTAGTATACCCAAAATCCACAATCTGCCACTGATACGCGTTTGGGGCAAGACAGACGTAGCTCCTTTTTTTGTTTAGTCATGAATGTTATTTGTATTTGCGTCGATTTTGCATCAAACCATAAAGATCATTTTGTAGCCTAGAATGGGCACACAAGCTTAATTTGTGCAAAATTGGAGCTGCTTCCTTCTTGTAGCAAGGTCGTCAATTATTCTCATCCCCCATTGACTATGGCCTTGATTACTACCCTTTTTAATGTAATAACATGTAAAGTACATGTTTTCAATCAAAACAAGTTATAGTGTTGAGTTATGGTTATAGTAAATAAATTAAAATAAATATTTGGAAAATGATGATAAATAAATAGTACTTAAATATATAAGATAAAATAGACAAAATAGGAATAATGAATTGGCTATTAAAATAGATAAATTCTAAACATACCATGTGACATTTTCATTGTTATTGTGTACTTTCAGGGTTAGAAATCATTGACACTCAGGCTACCAACATTACAACTTCAAAACTTTGTAATAAATGTCCTTTATTATGGATATGTGGTAGATAATTGTAAAAAGGAATATTTTAACAATAAATTTATAATATAAACGATACAAATATTTCATTTGTGTAAAGAATTATTGAAAAATAGGTGATGTAAATATAAATATTTTATATGCTTTAGTTGGTACGAGAATGTTTAATTTTAAATCCGATTTTCAGGGTTCCCCTTAATCCAATAAAGTCGATCGAACTGGGACAGAAACAAAACGGGTTTTAGTTGTTTATTTATTAAAAATTATTTATTAAATAAATAAATACAATTTGATTTTTAAACTAACATTTTATAAAGTAAAAAAATATATTTTTATGCATTATTCTATACAATCCGGGAAAAATATGTGGGTATATGTTTTCTTTATTTATATTTGGCAACAGTGTTTATTTGTTTTCCAATGGGTGACAGACTGTCACTGACAGTTCGTAAAAAAATTTCAAGACGTTCAAGACCACAGATAATAAAAGACGTAAATTTTGTATAGTTAAATAATGTAATAATCTAAAATGGATGTATTTAATTTAATGCAAAATTATAATACTGAATTGGGGGCAGTAACAGAACAAACTTGGTTTGGTAGTTTAATAACATGTGCTTTGGAATCAAATAAGGTACTTAAAAATTGATCTTTGTACATTTATAATTATTTTATTGTAAATATAATTTTTTTTTTCAGGCCCTATATACTTTATTGATTGCACTAATATCTTTATTAATTACTATTGTTATAGTATGTATAAAGAAATGTCAGCGAAAAGGTAAATTTACTTTAGAAAGAAAGAAATGCCACCACAAAATTTTACCATTTATTAATTGGTAATATAAGTTTTAGTCGAAACATTGATACACACAATGATAAAATAATTTATTTCTCAATGAGATGGTAAAGTGAGATTTTGGGTGAATAGGAAAGATTGTGTATGAGGTGTAGCTGAGAATAATCCTGCAAGCCCTAAAAACACTTCCCATCGAGTTGAGAACGCTATTTTGCTATTTTTTACTAGTTTTTGATGACCAAATCCACATTAATACCCCAAAGCAATAATTTTAGATAGACATTTTTTGGAAAATGTCACAAATTAAGGTAGTTTCTCCAATTGAAGAGTTTGATAAATAAATAAAAGTAGGCTGTGACAGCAAATTCACAAATGTGCCAATGTAGTAAAACTAAAATGCATTTTAATTAACAAATTAATACTTTATTACAAATTAAAGTAGGTATCATTAAAAACTAAAAACAACATAAAAAGTAAATAAGTTAAAATATCCCGAACAATTGGGATTTCCTGGTGAAGTCATGATGATATCACAACGTGATATTCTTTATCACGCTGTGATAACCTGAGTGCATACACATGCTTCATCACAGTGATATCATGTAGAACTCAGGGTTTGATATTTGCAAAATTTGCGCATGCCTATGAGCCCTGCGAACTGCGAATTTAAAACCTAGTTTGTTATTCACATTACACCATTATAATTTATAAAACGTTGTTTAAATATCACGAATGTTGTCCGGGTTCAATTAAAAAAGATATTCAAATGTTTAACAAAACGTTCACCCGGACAACATTCGTGATATTCTAAATTTTATTAATACTGATATTATACGGAAGTCACCGCGTGATAAATGAAAATCATACGAACGTGACGTCGTGATTTTCACAAATTTTATTACGGACATCATCCGGATGTCACTGCGTTAGAAATGAAAATCATGTCGTGATTTTTTGTGCCATCACTGTTTGCGATTGACCGATGGCCTAAAAAATCACGACATGATTTTCATTTCTCACGCAGTGACATCTGGATGATGTCCGTATGAATAAAATTTGTGAAAATCACGACGTGACGTTCGTATGATTTACATTTATCACGCGGTGACTTCCGTATGATATCAGTAAGAATAAAATTTGTGAAAATCACGACATGATGTTCGTATGAATATCACGAATGTTGTCCGGGATGTTAGAAACGAATTTTTAAAAGAGTATGGAAAGTCTTATTTTCCACAGGTTTCTCATGGATTATTTTAAAAATTCGTTTTTCGACTCCTATTACGGAATGTGACCGTTGTATGACATATATTCCTTAAAGTATTACAGAATGGTGGCGACATCTCTGTGTTTAATATCTAACAAATTTTAGACCTATCTAACCTCACTTTCTCCCAATTAAATTATTATTCTATGGTATTTTTTGGAAACGTAGAAAAAGTATGGTCTTAAACACGTTTGGAATTGCATATTCCTTTCTCGTAAAACCGTCAAACTCCCCTTCGGCTCGTGTGACAAACTTTTCACTCGAGCAGAATATGCCGTATTCCAAATTTGTTACAGTATATACTATTTCAAACTCAAGAAACAAAATAGCTTAAAAATAGATTATTTATAGTGTTATTCTGTAAGGCAATATTAATCCCTGCTTAAAATACCCCATAGAGACCTATATAAAATAATCTATCGGGCGCTACCGGATTCAATATGTGCATTTGTCCATGGTTTTTTCCGGATACGGCCCGATAGAAAATTTATAGGAAAATACCTATAGGCACACCATAACTTGGCGGATGAAAACAAATGTAACCTAAAATAGTTATTTGTTTCGCTTGACTAGAGGCACGCTAACGTGCCGCGATTCGAAATGTTAAAGGCACGTTAGTTACGTCATAATTATTTAACGTTGTAATTTTAAGATTTTATGTTACGATAAAACTAAAACAAACCAAACCAACCCAACCCAACACTTTTTAACTAAGGAACAAGAAATTTATGAAATAAATAAGTTCGGCAAGTTCTGGTAGATTTTATGTTACGATAAAACTAAAACAAACCAACCAACCCAACCGAACACTGTTTAACAAAGAAACAACAAATTTATGAAATAAAAAAATAAAAAAAGTTCGACAACTTCTGAGTATCGAACCCGGTACCTCTCGCATGCCAAGCGACCGCCGTACCATCTGAGCTATCTGGCTTAACATCAATTTTATAACGCTCGGGAAACAAAAACGGATTATTATTATGACGTAACTAACATTTCGAATCGCGGAACGTTAGCGTGCCTCTAGTCACAGCGTATTTTTAAATAGAAAACAAAATAACCTAAAAACGTCTTTGACAGCTGTTAAAATTACTTTCACCTTATTTTTTTTTTATTTTTAAGGTATAAGTTTGTTACTGACAAATTGACGTATAGCCATATTTTAATGCAACATCTATGATTTTCATCAAACCGGACAACATTCGTGATATTCATACGAACATCACGTCGTTATTTTCAGAAATTTTATTCATACGGACATCATCCGGATGTCACTGGGTGAGAAATGAAAATCATGTCGTGATTTTTTATGCCATCGCTGTTTGCGATTGACCGATGGCACACAAAATCATGTCGTGATTTTTTATGCCAACGGTGTTTGGATAATCATTTTTGCGCCACGTTCGCACACTAAGAGAAAAATTATGTTGAATCAACAGTTTTTGCGGTAAATACATTTAATATTTTCTTGGATTTAAATTAACTATATATAGTTAATTTAAATCCAAGAAAATATTGAATGTTAAACTGTTGATTCAATTGTTAACATACTTTTTCTTTCAATGTACGAATGTGTCGCAAAAATGAATATCCAAACACCGATGGCATAAAAAATCATGTCGTGATTTTTTATGCCATCGGTGTTTGGATATTTATGTTTGCGCCACATTCGTACATTGAGAGAAAAAGTATACCTACATACAGGGTTTTATGTAATTAATGTTATATATTAAAATACTGAATACCTTTTGACATAAGGAATAAAGGAAAAATATTTAAAAAAACATTTTTCCAAAGATAAAGAAAAAATATGCATTAGAAGTTTTTTTATATTTTTTGTGATACGCCACTGGTTACACACTTGTTTATCTCTGCACACCTGTATTTTGTGAGTACATAGATACCAACCAACAAAGTAGCTATGCGTTGCCAGATGTAAAAAATTGTTACTAAAAATTTTTCTTGCAAAAAATAAATAAAAACTCAATAAATACAAAAGTTGTATGCCCTTAAAGCTCTAATACCCTTCTGTATTTATTTACTGATCCAGCTATTAGCTTAAGCAATGATTAGAAAATTTAGTAACTTTGAAATTTGAAATCCATAACCACAAAACTAATTTTTTCATCATTTTTTTCTCTGTTTACTCAGATGAAATTGGGACCAGTTCACAGGTTAAACTTTAAACATTTAATTTATGTAAATAAATCCAAAAGCACTTCCCTTAGTTAAGATATTTACAATTTGAAAACATAACCTAAAATTTAAAAGAAATGCACTAGATTCTGTCATAAAAGTTGGCAGATTTTGTTTGAATTTACCTTCAGTACAAAAATGAAATAACCAACAATTAATAAAAACGCCAAATTGACAATTTGCATTGTTAATTTTGTCATTTTTGTAATTAAGCTAAATTTAAACAATGTTTGTCAACTTCTTTGACAGATTTTGGAAAAACTGTTGTTACCAACCATAACATAATAAATCCACCAGATTAACATAAAGGTTATTATAAATTATTTTTAGACTTTGGAATTTAGAAAAAAAAAGTTTCAGGTGCTTCTTTATGGACCCTAAGGAACAACCCATTTTAATATATAACATTAATTACATAACACCCTGTATATATTGAATCAACTGTTTTTGTGGTTAAATACATTCAATATTTTTTTGGATTTAAATTAATAGTTAATTTACATCCAAGAAAATATTAAATGTATTTAACCGCAGAAACTGTTAATTCAATTGTTAACATACTTTTTCTTTCAATGTACGAATGTGGCGCAAAAATAAATATCCAAACATGTCGGTGCACCGATCACGACATGATTTTTTATGCCCAAACACCGATAGCATAAAAAATCATGTCGTGATTTTTCATGCCATCCGTGTTTGGATATTTATTTTGCACCACATTCGAACATTGAGAGAAAAAGTATACGGCCATTCCACGCGTAACGGATGGGACAGTTGCAAGCATAGAAAAGTTTTTATTTACAAAATAACATTGTTCTATTATATTACTAATGTCAAATTTTTATAAATAGGTAGTTCTTAACAAAAGCTGTTTAACAAGGTTTTTATTTGACAAAATAAGTTATCGTGGTTGACTGTTTAAGGGCCGGTTCTTCAATATCAGATAAACTTAAGATTACCTGCAATCTTGAGTTAACCTGTAGTTTATGTAAAAAAAGTGTTTTTCAATTATCAGTTAAAAGATTATCACAAGTTTATTGTCAGTTAAGTTAATCGCTACTAAGAGCAGAGGTAAACTCCAATTCATAACCTTAAAATCTTAATATATTTATAAACAGCTGTATTTACTAGTGTTTAGAATTTCGCTGTGTCTAGTCTCACGCTAGCATGAACGCAATTTTATTCTTATTCTTACGCGGTGACGTCACTAATTATAATCCGTTTTTGTTCCCAGAGCGTTTAATATTTGACAACAAGCTAGATGGCTCCGATGGTAGGGCGGGCGCTTGGCATGCGAGAGGTCCCGGGTTCGATTCTAAGAACTTTTTTTATTTTTTTATTTCATAAATTTGTTGTTTCTTTGTTAAACAGTGTTCGGTTGGGTTGGGTTGGTTAATTTGTTTTAGTTTTATCGTAACAAAATCTGCCAGAAGTTGTCGAACTTTTTTTATTTCATAAATTTGTTGTTCCTTTGTTAAAGTGTTTTATTTTTATCGTAACATAAATTTGCCCATTTTAG